TATATATTTAAAAAAATTACTGTTGCAGAAAGACATACACCAGAATTCGAACCTGAACAACCAGCTTCAGGAGATACTTATCCGCGTACGGACCGCTATCGCCGAAGTGAGTCCCGCAGTGAAATTGCCACAAAACCACGAGTTTAGTAGGCTATCAAAGTTGAACATTTTTAAATTTGAAAATGATTGGTTGTAGGCGGTTGACGAGTGCGAGAAGCTGAACGTCCACTCGTACCTGTGGATGGACGACCGCGACGAGCTGTTCGGCCAGTTCCTCAAGTACGGCCACTACCTAGCCCAGGAGGAGCTGGACGAGCTGGCCGCGGCCGAGGAGGGCACCACCCCCATCAAGGAGACGCCGCCCGACCTCGACAAGTTCAAGGAGCTGATCGAGCTGTACGAGAACCTCTACAAAGAGCTGGACCTGATCACCACCGAGAGGGTGTTCCAGAAGTGGTTCCGCGTCAACATCAAGCCCTTCAAGCAGGCCCTGCTCAACACGGTGTGCAAGTGGAGCAGCATGATCAAACAGCACCTCGTAGACCACGTCATCAACAGGTACGGCGGGTTGTACACAAATTATTAATTGTTGAGGGGTGAATTTCTGCTTAACTTTGATCGCCGCACTATGGTTCGACTGCTTGCAGCCTGCGCGGCCTGGCCGAGTTCAACGAGGAGGCGGAGCGCGAGATGGGGCGCGAGGTGAAGGAGGGCGACTACGAGGCGCTGCTGGCCGTCATGAACTACCTCGGCAAGGTGCGCGACCGGCGCGCCAAGACCGACACCATGTTCGAGCCCATCAAGGAGACCATCGAGCTGCTCAAGACGTACGACGTCGAGTTCCCCGAGGAGATCTACGTGCAGCTGCAGGAGCTGCCCGACGCGTGGAACAATGTGAAGAAGATCGCCATCGCGGTCCGCACCGCCGTCTCGCCGCTCATCACGCACGAGATGAACCAGATCCGGCGCAGGATCACTGTCCTGGACGCGCGTCAGCTCGCCTACCGGGAGGCCTTCAAGAAGATGGCCTTCTTCAGGTACTTTTCCGCACCGATCGCCACCACCCTGGTTCACTTCGATCAATTACTTGAAAAAAAAAACTTAAACCGCAGGTTCGACTGCAAAGACTGCTATGACGACATCGACCAGGCGCAGAGGGAGATCATCGAGCTGGAGGAGTACATCGGGAAGATATCCGAGCAGGCGGCACTTTTCGAAGTGAACGTACCCGACTTCAGGGGAGTCAAAATGTGCAGGAAGGAGATAAAAATGATTAAGGTTTGTAGGGCCCCGAGATGAAACACACAACAGTTTCAATGTACGCCACTTAACTTTTTTTTTTCGAATCACAGCAACTGTGGGATTACGTGAACGTCGTGCAAAGCAGTCTGGACGAATGGAAGACGACTCCGTGGAGGGAGATTGAAGTAGACAACATGGACATGGAGTGCAAGAAGTTCGGCAAAGAGTTGCGGAGTGAGTAGCAATCGTCATCCGATCGTCACGTGTCTCCTTGTAGTGTGACTAACGGGAACGGGGACCCCTCCCTGCAGCACTGGACAAGGAGATGCGCGGCTGGGACACGTTCATCTCGCTAGAGGCACTGCTCAAGAACATGGTGACGTCCCTCCGCGCCGTGAGCGAGCTGCAGAACCCCGCCATCAGGGAGCGCCACTGGCGGCAACTCATGGCCGCCACAAAGGTGAAGATCGTCATCGACGAGAACACGGTGCTGGACGACCTGCTGCAGCTCAACCTGCACTTGTTCGAGGACGAAGTAAGTCTCGTGCTTGTCATCGAGTTGTGTTTTTTTTTTTTTTTGGGGGGGGGGGGGAGAGATAGAGGTGGTTGAAGCTACACCGCCATGTTTTGCCCGTTTGCAGGTGAAGACCATCGTGGACAAGTCCGTGAAGGAGATGTCCATGGAGAAGGTACTCCGAGAGCTCGACGCGACGTGGCGGGAACAAGAGTTCGAGCGGGAGGAGCACCCCCGCACCGGGGTGCAGCTCATCCGCACCTCCGAGGAGCTCATCGAGACGCTGGAGGAGAACCAAGTGCAGCTGCAGAACATGATGGGCTCCAAGTTCATCGCTTTCTTCCTCACCGAAGTCAGTTTGTGCTTCGCAAAGGCCCGCCTTTCACTTACTTTGAAAAATATTATTATGTTTCTTGGTTGGCCCCAGGTTTCGGATTGGCAGTCAAAACTCGGTAACGCGGACGCCGTCATCAGCATCTGGATGGAGGTACAGCGAACCTGGTGTCATCTTGAGTCCATATTCGTCGGCTCGGAAGACATCCGCAGCCAGCTTCCCGAGGACTGCAAGCGCTTCGACATGGTTGACGTCGAGTTCAAGGTACTTGCCGGTATCCCACGACTCGATATAGTCAGGTTGTTTCGTTACCCAAAGCTAGCGCTCAATTAAATTTGCCCTACCATTATTATATTTCAGAAACTCCTCGAGGAGCTGACAAAAGAACCCAACATCGTGCGATTCACAAACAAGAAGGGGCTGTATGAAAAGCTGGAGGAGCTCCAGAGCCACCTCACCAAGTGCGAGAAGGCGCTCGCCGAGTACCTGGAGACAAAGCGGCTCGCCTACCCGCGCTTCTACTTCGTGTCCTCGGCCGACCTCCTCGACATCCTGTCCAACGGCAACCAGCCCGCCATGGTGGCCAGGTGAGTCCCCTGGGCGCCTGTATGGGTAGGCAGCCGGCGCGCATAGCGAGCAGCCGTGTGTTGCGGTACTGCCTACCCAGCGGCTCGCAGGCGCCCTTAGCCTAATACCTTGTGTGTGCGCACTCGCAGGCACCTCACCAAGCTGTACGACTCCATGGCCAAGCTCAAGATGGACGGCTCCTCCAAGATGGCGGTCGGTATGTGGGCCAAGGACGGAGAGTACGTGGAGTTCAGTCAAAAGTGCGACTGCGACGGGAAGGTGAGGGCCACACGAACCAGGGCATATCGTCCGTAACTTGACGTTCCTGCTCGATGCCCTGCTGCTTTCGGTCGGGCCGCGGCCCCCCGCTACCGTGCTCCTCTTGACGCAGGTCGAGGTGTGGCTGAACCGGGTGACGGACACGATGCGCGTGACGGGTCGTCACTACTTCCGCGAGGCCGTCACCGCGTACGACGAGAAGCCGCGCGAGCAGTGGATCTTCGACTACCCGGCGCAGACCGCCCTGGTGGGCACGCAGATCTGGTGGACCACGGAGGTCAACATTGCCTTCAGCCGGCTGGAAGAGGGCTACGAGAACGCGCTCAAGGACTACAACCGCAAACAGGCATGTAGCTCGAGGGGGGTCATTTCGAACTTACCGCTGAAAATGAGACCTTCAATTGGTATTTAACTCGCCGTCGTCTACAGGTGCAACAACTCAACACCCTCATCGGACTGCTGTTGGGCGACCTGTCCGCCGAGGACCGGCAGAAGATCATGACCATCTGCACGATTGACGTGCACTCCCGCGACGTTGTGGGCAAAATGATCGCGCAGAAAGTGGAGTCGAGCTCGGCTTTCCAGTGGCAGTCGCAGCTTCGGCACAGGTACCGGCGGCGGCGCTCGCTGCGGCTGGCACTGCGGCGCCTTGGGGGTGGGGGGTGGTGCCGGGGGCGGTGCCGGGGGCGGCGGCAGCGCCTGAGCGCCTGGACCGTGGTGGCGCGACACCTCGGTGCGGCCCGCGAGCTGCTGCGCCTAGGCCCCCGCGCGGGCGCGCTGTGGGTCGTGCCCGCGGACCCGTCCTGGCCCAGCGGCGCGCTACGCGTCGAGCTCGACAAGCGCCTGCTCGGTGCCAGGGCGTTCCGCCGCCTCGCAGGGGACCGCGCCGGCGTGCAGGCGCTCGCTTTGGCCGCGCTCAGCCGGTGCGTGGCTCAGGCGGGCCGGGCTCTGGCGGGGGACGGGGTGGGGCTGGGTGGGGCGTTCACAGCCTCGTTCGTCCCCCGGCGGCCGCCTGGGCCCAGCCTCCTCCTCGTGTCCTTGGCCGTGCCCGCCGTGGCCACAGCGTGCCCGGCCCCCGCACCGCCCCCAGGCCAGCACAGGCTGGGGCCCTTCACGGTGTGCTGTCGGCGGGGTTCGTAGGGGTGGCCGGGTGATGCAGAGGGCTTGCGTTGCGTGCGCGAATCAGCCTTCCGAGACGAGACTGACGCTGTACTTTATGTCTGTATATTATTTGTAATGCTGCTGTAATACGCTTGCTTTTGCTGCAGAGGCTGCGCGGACAGCTCGCGCGGTGGTTATAGACCAACGACTCTTTTTGTAATTTTTTATCTAATAAACGTCGGCGCTAAAATATGCTTGCTTTATTTTTTTTTAATGTTTATGCCAATTGAACTCCTAAAGATGTGACCTCGCTAGCCCGCTGTGTGTCGGTAGAGCCAGTAGGGCTGGCGCTGCGGCGTGCTTTTAAAGCTTGTGGCCACGATACCACGCAATAAGGTAAGAGTCTCGTCCGCCGCGAGACATTAGACCGAGGATTAGTCCTTAGCTACCGCACCCGATCGGTATCGCACGCCATACGACCACCATTCTGCCGCATCCGTCCTGCGCGCCGACCGCTCCAACGTGCGTCTGAACCGGCAGGTGGGACGACAAGATCGACGACTGCTTCTGCAACATCTGCGACGCGCAGTTCCGCTACGACTACGAGTACCTGGGCTGCACGCCGCGCCTCGTCATCACGCCGCTCACCGATCGCTGCTACATCACGCTCACGCAGGTGGGTCCCGGGGAAAATAAAAGCCTCTGTAGAGTCTGGCTCCATCAGTCGTTGCAATTTACGTTACTCAAAAAATAAATTAAAAACTTACTTGAAAATTGTCAGTGAAGAACAACAACTACAATAGATTACACTCCCCACCCCCTTTTCCCCGGATTCGAAAAAAAGGAAAAGATGGTATTTTTGTGTATGTGACTGTGTCAGTCTCTTCACCTCATCATGGGCGGCGCTCCGGCGGGTCCGGCCGGAACAGGCAAGACAGAGACCACCAAGGATCTGGGGCGCGCCATGGGCGTCATGGTGTACGTCTTCAACTGCTCGGAGCAGATGGACTACAAGGTGAGAGCGCTTCTGCACATTCTTGAGAATGCTTCCGGCGACCCGACTTACTAACGGAACCAATTTTCTCCCCCGCAGTCCTGCGGTAACATCTACAAGGGGCTGGCGCAGACTGGCGCGTGGGGCTGCTTCGACGAGTTCAACCGCATCTCGGTCGAGGTGCTGTCCGTGGTGGCGGTGCAGGTCAAGACGGTGCTGGACGCCATCCGCTTCAAGAAGACCCGTTTCAGCTTCATGGGCGAGACCATCACCCTCACGCCCACCGTGGGCATGTTCATCACGATGAACCCTGGCTACGCCGGCCGCACCGAGCTCCCGGAGAACCTTAAAGTGCTGTTCAGGTCAGAGAGAAAATAAGGATATGACAACAAATCAGGACGTCATAGTGAAAAGTTTGGAATAGTTTTGGAATGCTTTTGTTCACGTCAAAGAACGATGTTGTTGCGTCTTGTCCTGGCCAGGCCATGCGCCATGGTGGTGCCGGACTTCGAGCTCATCTGCGAGATCATGCTGGTGGCGGAGGGCTTCCAGGAGGCCCGGCTGCTGGCGCGCAAGTTTATCACGCTGTACACGCTGTGCCGAGAGCTGCTGTCCAAGCAAGACCACTACGACTGGGGCTTGCGCGCCATCAAGTCCGTGCTCGTAGTAGCCGGCTCCCTCAAGGTGTGCACGCCTGCCGTATCATTTCCATAGACTCCTCGTTTCGTCGATTCGCTTTCCTTCGCTCACTTGCCACCGTTCGGTTGCAGCGCGGTGACAGGCAGCGGCCCGAAGACCAGGTCCTGATGCGTGCGCTGCGTGACTTCAACGTGCCCAAGATCGTGACCGACGACCTGCCCGTCTTCCTGGGGCTCATCGGCGACCTGTTCCCGGCGCTGGACGTGCCGAGGAAGCGCGACCTTGACTTCGAGAAGGCCGTCAGGACGGCGGCCACCGACCTGCAGCTTCAGCCAGAGGACAACTTTATCCTGAAGGTATTCTTACGACGCAGAGTCATTCCGAGGAACCGCGGGTCCGCAACGCGTTGTGTGCTCGCAGGTGGTGCAGCTGGTGGAGCTGCTCGAAGTGCGCCACTCCGTGTTCATCATCGGTTTCGCCGGCACGGGCAAGTCCATGGTGTGGAAGACGCTGTTCAAGACGTACCAGAACATGCGGATGAAGCCCTTCGTGTCGGATCTCAACCCCAAGGCCGTCACCAACGACGAGCTCTTTGGCGTCATCAACCCTTCCACCCGGGAGTGGAAAGACGGTAGGCTCATTGCACTTGAGCTTGAAGTAGAATATGACAAAAATGTTTGGGGTTGACTCTGTCGGGTCCGGTCCCTAGGGCTGTTCTCCGTGCTGATGCGGGACATCGCCAACATGTCCGGGGACGGGCCTCGCTGGATCATGCTGGACGGCGACATCGACCCCATGTGGATCGAGTCGCTCAACACGGTCATGGACGACAACAAGGTCCTGACCCTGGCCTCCAACGAGCGTATCGCCATGACCAAGTCCATGCGGCTGCTCTTTGAGATCTCCAACCTGAGGACGGCCACCCCGGCCACCGTGTCGCGCGCCGGCATCCTCTACATCAACCCGACTGACCTCGGCTGGAACCCGTGAGTACTTCC